AGATATGGGGGAGGTACTACCCCAACTCTGCTAAACACAAATTCAGGTAGTCCGGGTGGACGGAAGACAACTTGTTTCGTTACACAGTCTATGGTAACACGATATTTTGTTAACCAGTCCATTCTCAAAATTACATCAAAATGGTCAATGTTCAATGGCAGTAAGTCAATATATAAATGTGCATCTCCCTCAACAATCTCACATGCAGGATACATATATGCACAAGTCATGGATCCCCCAATGGGTGAAGATACAGCTAACAAATAGTCATGGGTTCTAATGGTCAATTTAATTTTCGTGAAAAAGCATACGAGACATATGAATGCGTAGACCCCGAATCAATCAGAACATAAGCATTTTGAGCACAAATTGAGAGTATACCTGAGACAACTGTCTCGGTATTCTGCACATCTCTCAGTACGAGTGCAAACACCCAGCCTTGCCTTGAAGGCTCCTTTCCAGTAGCTTGGGGTTGGGTTTCGGTGGAGTAGTTGATGCTGCGGCGCTAGCTGCAGCTTTACCAGTGCCTTGAGAAGTGGAAGGGCAATCTTTGACCATATGGCCCACCTTGCCACACCTGTAACAAGCACTAGAAATTTTATAACAAACCCCTTTGTGCCTTTTTCCACATTCAGAGTAGGGTGGTATGGAATTGTTTCATTGACTAGAGCTAGTCGTTGGCCCTGTATTTTGCTTCTTATTCGATAAGTTATTCCGACCTTTCTTAAACTTGAAGCCCCGTCTCTTACCACGCCACTCACACACTGGTGTTTCAGTCTGTTTCAATGCCTCAATATTCAACTCAGCTATTATTGCTCAGTCGAGAACATCCACATATTTAGGCAATTTCAGGACATTAATTCGATCAAGTATCTCAACATTGAGTCCGCCTTCAAACTTCTTGGTCTTTTTGTAATCAGTATCCACCATGTGTGGTGCATATCTGGCGAGTTCAGTGAATTTAGATTCATACTCTGCTACCGACATGGTGCCCTGTTTCAACTATTCAAACTCAATCACTTTGCGGTCTCGGACACACTGGGGAAAGTTTTTTTCAAAGAAGGACTCATTAAACTGAGCCCAAGTCATGACAGTATTTGCATCACGGACAAGCATCCACCACCGTCTAGCTTCTTCTTGTAAAGTGAAGGTAGCCAGTAACACCTTGTGCGCCTCCGAACACGGAAACACTTCAAATAATTTCTTAGTTTCAAGAACCCATGCTTCGGCGTTTAATGGTTCAAGGCCTCCTTGGAAGGATGGTGGTTTCATTTTGCTGAACTTCTGTGTCAGAGAAATAATATCATCATTAACATTCTGTTTAGGTTTTACTGGAGGAGGTGGGGGCTGTTGGTTCTGTTGTTGTCTTAAAGCTTCAGTCAACAGTTCAACTGTTCTTTCTAATCTTGCCATTCTGGCATTGTCCATTTCACTATATGCAATACAGTAATCATAAACATAGGAATTGCTTACTTAACCATATTAGCACATTAGCACATTAGCACATATATTCATGTCATGGCCACACACATTTTTATCAATGCTCATGCAATGCCCTAATCACTTTTCTAGGACATCCTATAGCTCATTTGGACACATGTGTGCGGTATAACTCGTGGTTTAGTATCGCTCTGATACCACTCTATCACGACCCAAACCCGCACCTATGGGTTTAGCACCGTAACCGGCCAGTAATCCGTGATTACTGAAGGTCTGCTTGAAATAATGACAGTAATACAGAGTAAAGGGGGTTGGCGGAAGCCAAAACAGTAAATAAAATATGTCTAATGAGCTGTGACAGTCTGAATGTAAAAAGACTTTTTATAAACATGCCACATTGACAACCAAAACATATATATATGCAACATATACACAAATATCCATGTCAGGGATCAAATCCCTAACTATAACTGTACAGTCAAGTCTTGTTCAACTATTACAAAACAGAAATAGAAGGGTGAATCCGAACACCCCAAAATAGCCGTAGCTTGAACGAACTTGGAACCTCGAGGTGAGGCACAGTGGTTGACTTGACAAAACAAGAGCTAATCCGACGCTCCTAGCTCCGGTCCGGTGCCTGGACACCTACATATATATATATATATAAACAGTGAGCTAAAGCCCAGTGAATAACAGTTATGTAAAGAGGTTAAGAATGAATGTCCTTTCAGTAATTAAACAATCATATCAGTCACTTAAAAACCATAACAGTCATATGTGGTGCATCCCATAGCAAAACAGTACAGTAGGTCTTAACAGACCGAGCAGTCAGTTGATGGCCATCATAACAGTAACAGTAGTGGTTCCAAACATGGGAACCGACAGAGATCTCTGTATCAGTAGCAATAACAGTAAATTACTATGGATGCCACGAATACAGTTTACAAATAGGACAAAATTCATTCATTAAACAATAACGTTTCAGTAAGCAGAATAGTTGATCATTCAGAAGATAATCATAATTGAACATATCTTTACAACATTGTTACTCATAGAGCACTAGACTATAGACAAGCTAACGAGCGTCCTCGGATGCCAACCCTACAGTTGTAGAACGAACACGCACTCGAGATTAATAACTTAGCCCCTAATTATACTTGGTGTGGTTCTATAACATTATCCTCATTAAGATGCCTTAAACTAGGCCTAGGAATGCCTAGGATGGAATGAGGATGTAAAATGCACTTTAAAAACACTTTTCAAAATTTTTTAAAAAACATGGGGGTCTCGCTCGAGCGTGGCTTTCTACGCTCGAGCGAGCTTTCCAAAACAGAGGGGTCGCTCGAGCGTAGACTTCCTCGCTCGAGCGGTCTGTAAAAATGCAAAAGTGCTGGATATTGAAAATCTCCGCTCGACGCTCGCTCGATGCTCACTCGAGCGTGAGACACAGTCCTCGCTCAAGCGTGTGTCTGCATGCACCAAAAAATCTGAGAGCTTGCAATCTATGCTCGAGCCATCATTCCTTCGCTCGAGCGGAGCTCTGAACAAAAGATGGTCGCTCGAGCGTGGAAGCCAAAATCTGAAATTTTCAGATTTGCCTCCCAAGCTCAAACCAAGCATTCAACACTTCAAAACTCAACCTTTTGGGCCAATTTTCTAAAAAATACTTGCAAACTCATACTACAACATGTTTTGAAGATCAATTTTATAAAATCAAGCTTAAAGGTGAGACAATTGAACATAATTTCAAGGAAACTTGAAGAACAATGCAAAAATCATACATGCATGAGTTCCCATGAACTCCAATGTTTCAAAACATGATCCAATGCAAGCTTTAGCTCAAAAACATGGTGAATTCATGGACCTCTACTAAAATATGCACATGCATGTAAGGATTTCATGCAAAACAACTTCAATTTTCAAGAACATGTACATGCATGCATGAATTACTATTCAATTCAACTCTTGAATTAATTCTTGACATTAATCTCCAAATTTCCATGAATCATGCAAGAAACAACTTAAATACATAAACCAAAGGATGAATTCTCTACCTTAGGTCTTGAATTCAAAGTATACAAGCTTAATTTTGCAAAATCCCTTCAATTCCTTCTAACTCTCCAAGTTAATCTCTTGTTGAAACCAATTCTCCTACTCTCCCTCTCTCTCTCTCGGTTATGGTCTCCAAAGTAGCTGAAGAAATGATATAAAACCAAGCTCCAACAATGACTCTAAGAGTGGCCCACTCAATGGCAAAGATGTAGTTATTACAAACTAATGTAATTTATCTTTATTTAATCTAATTTAATCATTCCAAATTGAATTTAATTAAACCTACCATAAAATCACATAAATTCTAATTAGCATATAACATTAATCAATTTCTGGTTCGGTCGCCGATAAGACCTTCAATTCACAGTTCAAAGTTAAAACATGAACAGATTCATTCAGAAATCAAACAGATAGAAATGTATTCAAAACAATACACTCATACAATCAGTTCAGAATTTCATTCTTATCAGTTACTTATCATGCTTAATCATAGATTAGCACTAATCAGAGATGAGGGTTGTCACATTAGGGCTTGAAGCTTGAGAGGGGGCCGGGGGATGTATAGATGGGTCTTCCGTAGGGATCTCCATCTCTGCTTCCCCCATTGAATCTTCGTTCTTAATTTTCTTGGTGCTACGAATCAGATGGTCTTCTTCTTCTTGAGATTTTTCTTGTTGATCGAAGCTGACAGTAGAGGTGCGCTCGTTTTAGAGAGAGAATTCTTTTTCCACCCACTAAATTGGTTCTATTCAATCCCATCATTAATTTTGAAAAATAGGAAATATTACGTCATATGTACCTTATAATTAAAAGAAACAATATCATAATTTCATATTTTCTGAGTCATAATTAAAAAAGAAATTATCATAACTAAACACAATATGAAATATAATTAAAGATATTATGAGTCATAATTAAAATAATATTATAATTAAAAAAAATATTAATGATAATTAAAAAATAATAATATAAATAAAATTGCATATGAAATACTTTTGAAGTGCGTGTACATTAGAATTTCTCTTGGAAAATAAGACTTAACTTTTGGCTTATATCTAATTTTAGGATTATTTGGAATGATATATCATAATTGAACATATCTAATTATATATATATATATATATAAAGGGTAAATAACAAATATACCTTTTGAGATTTATTTAAAGTATAAATTTATCCCTGTAAAAAAAATTATTTAACGGAATTAATTAAAAAAATAAAATTCATAATTACTCTCTTATACAATAATAAAATTACTTAAATTATTAATTGAAACATATTTTTAACATTATTAAAAACTGTTAATTGATTTAATGACTTATTAATAAAATGGATAATTTGTCATGAAATTAGAAATCTCAACGGATGGAATGTAATTTTCAAAATTACAAAAGATAATTTATATTTTAATCAAATTTCAGAGATTGTATTTATAATTTATTCAAAAAAAATGATATAATTCAAAAAGAAAAAAGAGAAAAAAAAAAGATGAATAAATGCACTGTATTTTAGTTCATGCCACTACCTCGTTGGACATGGACCAACCTCAGAAAGTAGTAGAGAACACCGAGCCAAAACAGAGAGGATGCTAGTAGCACTGAGGACTCGCCTCATAGGTCTCCAACTCGCTTCTCTCCCATTCCTCTCATCTCCTCCATCTCGCAAAACACCCCTATTCACTCTCTCTTTTCGACACTCCTCTCACTTTAACCCTAACAACCCTAATCCTCGCTCCTCCCATCATGTTTCCGCCGCAAAAGGTTCCAAACCGGCGGTTTCCGACGCCCCCAAGTTCCTCCGAACCGTCCTCTTTATCCCTCCCGGAGTCGAACCCGAAGAGGTCACCGAAGACATGATCCTCCCCGGTTCGAACATCGTGCTCGGACCGTACGTCGGCGATGCCAAAATCAAGGAGGTCGAGTTCGTCAAGAGCAGCGGTCGGGCTAAGGATTGCCCCAAGGACGACCGGCCCGAGTTCGCCATGCTCGGGCGGTCCAATGTCGGCAAGTCTTCTCTCATTAACGCTCTTGTTCGCAAGAAAGAAGTTGCCCTCACTTCTAAAAAGCCAGGTTCGATTTGATTTTTTTTTATTATTTAAATTTAATGCATATTAGGTGTTTGATGATTGGTTTTGGTGGGTTTTGAGTGTTTTTGTGTTTGATTTGCGCAGGAAAGACTCAATTGATTAATCATTTCTTGGTTAACAAAAGTTGGTACATTGTTGATTTGCCTGGATATGGGTAAGAGTGCATCATTTGCAAATTTGAACTTCAATTCGCTATTTCTCTTCGAAAGTTCATTTGGGTTTATGGTTTGTGTGTTATCACTATCTATAATGCATTAAAAATTTAAAATTTTGAGATGATAAAGGTAAGTTGAAGCAAGAAATGATAGCTTAAGATATGTGCATTGTAATTCTTTTTTGAACTCATCTGTTCAATTTCTGGGCTTTTAGAGGATTATTTGCAATACTTTTTAGTGTTGAATCAATGATAACTCTATGGACATATCCAAAATTACTTAATTAAAGTTCAGAACTAAAAAAAGATTTCTGAATTTAGCTACACCATTATTATGAAAATTTTCAGCTGAAGATGCATTATTACCTAATTCACAGGGCCACGTGATTGTGATTTTTCTAATTGTCTCGAGAAATATGTTTAACATCACATTCAATATCATGTTAAAATGCATATATAAAGCACCTTCTATAACTGTTTTTTAAATCATTTAGTAAAACTTGATGCCTTCCAAAACTTAGCATTTGATAGAATAGATATTTATCTCCATGTGTTTGAATTCTTCAGACATTTCCATTGGACTTTGCAGTGTCAAGGAACAATGTTTGTCAATGATCTGTGCAAAGGAACATGTAAGGGTGGTGGGATATTATTAGGTTAGGATTATGGGAAATCACTATGGCTATGATTGGATCTTGAATTGGTGGGTGCGAAAAAATGGAAGGGATACCTGAATGAAGTACAAGCTAATATTTTTTTTTTCCACTTCTCTCTTTTCCCTTTTCCCTTTTCCCTTTTCCTTTCCCTTGAAAACAAAACATAGGCTATGTAAATCCATGTAGTAAAACTCTAGCTTGTGCATTTGGCTTGACCGTTCTTTAGGGGTCAGTTTGATTAGCGCACCACATGTATCCACAACAAAAAATCATGAAGAAATAAGGATTATTCCTAGTTATATTGTATTGTATGCCTAAGCCTAAGGCTGCAAAATGAACCCGTCTACTCAAGCTTGACTCGTGTTCGGCTCATTAAAAGCTCATTTGAAATCAGCTTATTACGTAAATAAGCTAAGTTTGAACACATTTTAAAATTTGTTAAATTTTCAAGCCAAGATTGAACAATCTATTACTCAGCTTGATTAACCAATAAGCACTATAAAAAATCAAATTACTTGAGCTCGACTTATATTCGACTCATGAAAATCTTGTTCGAGATTGCTTGTTATGTATACAAGCTAACGCTCCGTTTGTTTGGGCGGAAAACATTTTCTAGAAAAAAAATTTCGCATTTTCTGTCGTTTGGTGCAACAGAAAACAAAAGTCAATGGAAAACATTTTTTATGATCAATTGAAAACAAGCCAATTTGGGCGGAACATATTTTCTATGGTCAATGCAATCATTAGTACATTAATTTTAAGAACACAACCAAACATTAAAAAAAAAACGTTTTCTGAAAAAAGTTTTTTTATAGAAAATGTTTTCCATAATTTTTTCCAGAAAATGTTTTTCGTTGAAATAAACAGAACTTGAAGTTCCTTAAGTTTCAAGCCAAGGTTGAACAATGTACTAGGTTCATTTTCTACCCTGTGCATACCTGAAATGGTTTGTTGCATAGGTGGTCATTTAAGAAGCTCAAACAATTTTAATTTTAGTGTCTAGGTCCAAGCAGCATGGACTTTTTGGTTAATTTCTCTGAATGCATATGTGATGAAAGATTTCCTTGTTTAACAACCGCCATGCGCAGGCATTATATGTCACTTTGCTGGTGTTGGTGTGTTTTCATCAATATTGATTTTGTTGAACTCCTTCAGTAACGGTCACATCCCCTTGTTTACTTCTTTGGGCTGTCTATCGTATGTATGGATGTCGAAGAGTTCTAACATTATTATGTATGCTCTGTTATCAAAATCTTATGATTTACGATTTGATTCGTGATTCAATTCGCAATTTTTGCAAAATCGATACGAATCTATGAGTGAATCTATTTTGGAAGTGAATTTATAATGAATTGCACGATTCACAATTGACGCATGATCACAATCAATTTACGATTCGATTCACTTTTTACGATTCATGCAATTTTTGAAATTATTGTGTCCAAAATAACCAACATATATGCATGATTTGTTGCTATTTTAGTAATTATGGAGTTTTTTTTAATAGAATCCAATCAAATTCAGTCAGACCCAACATATTTTTAACCATTCTTCTCATTTTTTTTCTTTTTAAAAAATCATAATACATCTTCTAAAGATGTTTAAGATTAAAGTTACACTATGAATTATCTATTGCTATGTTATTAAATTAAATATAATTTAATATTACATTTGTGAGGTCAGTTATACCTTTTAAAATATTTTAGATTTTAAAATAAAATATTCTAAATAATGGGTCAAAATAATGTTTTCATTAATTTAACACTAAATGTTTCATATTCATAAGATATATTTAACATCTAAATGTGTAGATATATGTTTTTAAGTAATTTAGAAAAAGTGACTGAATCTTTATGATTCACGATTCGATTCGCGATTCGGTACGAAGCCATTTCGATTCACGATATGAATCCCGATTTGACAACTATCTGCATGCTGATGTTATCTAATGGGTCAATCTGCAAGTGGAAATGCAATTGGACTGTTTGTCTTGTTTTTATAGTCTTGTACAGTCAAAAGGGGATTGATTTTGTAAAAGATGAGATCAGTTTTATGCCTGTGGCTTTTTGGCAATTAAATTTAGTAGTTCTCCTACTTAGTGCAGTCCTTCCCAGGGTAAATGTGCAAATACTCTTGTTGGGGTTCTGTTCGGTAACCATTTATCTTGTGACTAATTTTTTTTTAAATATAGAAAATAGAAAACCTTTATTTATATTCTGGAAATCTATCATACCCTGTTTATAATGGAACAGAGTTAATTTATTTTGTGGATGAGGACACAGAAATTGATGCTCCAGCACACTGTTACATTATTTGGACTGTCAAGTTTAGTAGTTAATAAGTTGTAGACATGATGATCTTATGATATTCATTTTGTGTAATTTTGTTTAATCTGTAATCTTGTATGATTTCTTATGTAAATTCTGCAGGTCAGCAATTAGAATAATTTTTAGTCAGTTTAGTAGTAATGGTTTAAGTTTTAAGGGAGGGGTAAAGATCTGATAAGGGCAATTAGTTTTACCCCTTTTTGCCATTAACACCTCTAAATTAACTTATTGATTCCTTGTGGCATCATGGAATACTTGTAGTTGAGTTGATGCCATGCAAGTTAGCTCTAAATCTCATTAGATTTCACTTTGTTTACAGCTTTGCTAATGCCCCAGAATCTGCTCGAATGGATTGGTCCGCATTCACCAAGGGCTACTTCTTGAATAGAGAAACTCTGGTTGCCGTCCTACTTCTAATTGATGCTAGTGTACCACCTCAGAAGATCGACCTTGACTGTGCTAATTGGCTTGGACGGAACAATGTATGCTCTTATCTAATTTTTAGCTACTTTCTGATCCTCTTTCTGTCAGCAATACTATCAATGGTATGAGGCTAAATCCTGTCCTTGCCCTTGACTTTTATGCCTTTTTGTGCCTTCATCTTTCAGATACCAATGACTTTTGTTTTCACAAAATGCGACAAGATGAAGGGTAAGGGGAAAAGGCCTGATGAGAACATCAAAAATTTTCAAGAGCTGATGAGAGAAAATTACCGGGAACATCCTGCATGGATAATGACCTGCAGTAACACTGGTTTGGGCAGAGACGAGCTTCTTTTGCACATGTCACAACTACGGAACTTTTGGGATAACTAGTACATCCTAGTCAAACCTTGCAATTTGTCCTGTTCTGTTCTGGAAATGGTAACTCCAAAACCTAGTGATTTTATATATTGATTAGCCAATTAAACATATGATGTTGAAAGTATCCTCAGGAATTGCTCAATTGCTTAAATTTTGTAAGCATTGATTTTTTCTGTGGTGGGGTGTAAATTCCTCTGTATGTACATGCTTAATTTGTGTTATACATTTCTCAAAAGCATTATCATTGTCTTTGTACTGTGTATAGACTATTTTATTCCTGTTATGTTATATAGCACTCTAGTATTGTATTGAAATTTCAGCAAAGAAAACCCTTGGTCAAATATACAAAGGATCATATGCCATTTCGGGTACGTAATCTTTGAGTTATTCACTTGGACTAGTCTCTTGCTTGTTGCTTCTTCTTCCTGATGTGGACCACCCCGTAGCAAGGGTTTCGCATAGATGTAAATTCATTTATGTGAATATCAGTTTTTCTCAAGTACATCAAGAAACAGATTTTTTATTATCTATCCTAGACCTCATGAGTCTAAACCATTGAGCTCTATGGCTTGTTTGTGAATGTCAATTGTTGGTTTTTGTGTCTCTAGCATTTATTTTTTTGAGTGCTCCTGAAGTTGGCCCAAACTGCATAAACATGACAATTGACGCATTCCATTGCGCATTCAATTGTGGTCAAACCATGTGAACTGCTTTTGCATTATAAAATTGAAGTTCACATGGTTTGTGTTTTTTTTTTTTTGTAATAAATTGGTATATATCGTTGTCACCTTAAAACACTTTCTCAAATAGATTTTGTTATCAGCTGTTTGGGAGGTAAATATTTTAGTTGGTTTTTTTATTTTTTATAAAAAGTCATACAGAAAAGTAGAGAGTAATGTGATTAGGTGTTTTGACTTTTTGACTATTTTAACCAAAAAGTTGACATTCCAAATGGGTATAGTTTTTTAAGTTTGTTTAACATGTGTTTTAAGGGTGATTGTTAATAGTTAGAGATGGTGGCCAAAGAAGGTCATCAAATGCTAGAAGTGTTGACCAAAGGTAGTTATCAATAATTGAAGATGATGGTCAGAAGTGATTTTCGACAAGAGGTGGTGGCTAACAGTGGTTGGTGGTTGTCGATCAGAAGTAGTGCTCGAAGGTGGTTGGTACCTATTGAAAATGATAGTCGAAGGTCATTTCAGATATGAGGCGGTGGTTGAAAGCAGTTTTTGATAAGGTGTGATGACAAAATGTAATTTCAGACAAGAGATAATAATGGAAAGTAGTTGATGTTAGTGAGAGGTGGTTGGCGATGGTGGAATGTGATTGATATCCGTAGGAAGTGATGATTGAAAATAGTTATTGATGACGATGATCAGAGATGATAGTCAATATTGGTGATAAGTGGCGAGTGGTGGCCTTAGGTAGAATGTGAGAAGAAAGAGTAAATGAATTTTTTTAAAAAATATTTTTTTAACGAGTGAGACTAATATTTTATAATTATAAGAATTTAATAAATTTTATAAACTATTTACAAGTTTTTAAAATTCAAAATAGATACATATAATTTTTAAAAATTAAAAAAAATGTTAACATAACTAATTTCCCAAAATGTATAAGTAGAACAATTAAAATTTACAATAACAAATGTGTCTGTTTGGTGCAGCTTAAAAGCTGTTTATTTCTGCTTTCATCTTAATTTAAGCTATTTTGATGTGTTTGGTTTAACTTAACAATGCAGTTTATAATTTTTTGTAAGTCAGAAATCAGCTTATTCTTTGAGTGGGGCAGGAGATGCTTAATTTATAAGTCAGAAATCAATTTATGTTCATAGTTATAAGTTATAAGCAATTAAGACATAAGTTATAATCACTTTTTCACAGCTCTACCAAACAGGGCCATTGTAAGAGTTTAATCACGCTTAAGAGTGACGTTTAAGAAGTCAAACAACAACAGAAAAGTTCAACAATGGAGGTGCACTAATGCTGTGTTTGGTTGGGAGATTTGAGAAAGGATTTGGAAAGGGAAATAGAAAAGGAAGATGAAATATGAATAAAACATATCTATATTTCACCTAGTTTCACACACCTTTTTCCTTTCCCTTTCCCAATCACTCCCCAAATTCCTCAACCAAACACAGCGTAAAAGTCCAATCAAATATGTCAGAAATTTGAATAGTTATCATTTTTCTTTTGACGGGTGAACGAGACACATGTCGTGAAGTTTTTAGATGATGTACATGTACTCGTAGAACCACTCACATTCCAATAGAGAAATTTTGCTCCGATTATTATTTATTGTGATATTTTACTTACGGGTAATATGTAAGGAGTAGGAAAAATAATTATCAATATATAAGGTGTAACAGTCTTTTATTTACACTTTACTATAGATTTAGATATACTAGTATTCCTTATGTGTTAGTAATTTTTTTTCTTTTCTCCACTTACATATAGTTTTCCTTTTTATTTAAAACACAAGTTTTATCATTATAATTATAAAAGTCAGGTACGATAATAAATTATCATTTATAATGATGAATCTAGTCTATGTAAAAAAAATTTGTATAAATTATAGAAATCATGGATGTAATAAATAAATTATACCAATGATTTTTATAATTTTTATTGAATTACTTTAGTCCCTCTAATTTTATATATAAAAAAATAGCATCAAAAATATTAATAGCGCATGACAAAAGGTTTAGAATCCTATACAAAGAGCCTTTTCAAATGACAATTGCATCCTATTAGCACTATTTGGGAAGATGGTTTGGGAGCTTTTTTTTGGCTATTTTAGCCACAAAAGATAAAATAGGCTATTTTAACCATAACAAACAAAACATCACATCTAACCCATAATCATTACACTATTCTCTCACAAAAAAAGTCAAAAAGCTAAAAAGTCAAAATGTCCTTCCCAAACCAAGCTTTTTAACCCAGGCTAAAATAGCTAAAAAAATCAAAAAACCAAAAAACTAACTCACTTCCCAAACGAAACCATTGTTGCGAAACGTTGTACGAAACCAAATCACCCCGGCCCGTCCAAATTCCAATTGCTTTGCATTATAAAAAAAATTGAATGTATGAAACTTAAATTGAAACTGTAAGTACTAAAGTGATACCTCATCTTAAATTAGACCATCTCCAACGGTGAACCAAACCCAGCATCAAATTCAAATTTTGATGAAAAACCTACTTTTTCAAGCTCCAACCGTTGCACCAAAATCATATCAAAATGAGAATTCAGCAAACAAAACATCAAACTGAGACCAAGACACAGATTTTACCAAATCACTGTTACTGACCGTTGAAAGTGGTACACCGGTCAACCAACCGGTTGCCCAGCCGGTTGACCAACCAGTCAACCGGTTCCCTTTGAAATAACTAGGTTCAAACCAGTCAAAAAAGGTTCAAACAGGTATAAAAAAAAAATTGCCCAAACCGGTCGACCACTTCCCCAATTCTGCTTTGATGCTCACCGTTGGAGTGCCTCGTATCAAATTGAAAAAATCGTCATTTTTTTCATCAGATTTGATGAAAAAAGAAGTTAAGCGTTGGAGATGCTCTCATAGGGACGAATAGTGTAATTTACCCAAATTTTTTTCATTATGTAAATGAGAAAAAAATGATAAAATTATTTGTTTTAAAAAATTAGGGATAAAAAAAGTAGTATTTACTAACCGTTTACAGTGGTACCCTTCTTTTCTGTTCAATTTTCTCAATTTGGAGATATTTTAAAAGTGACTTACTTAGAGCATCTCCAACCCTGAATCAAAGTTTTCATCAAATCTGAGTAAAAAAATGACTTTTTCCTCAATCTGATACCGAGTGCTCCAACGGTTGATTTTCATCAAATTTTCATTAAATTTGTGCCGGGATAACCGGTTGGTCGACCGGTTAAGCCAAATTTTTTTTTTTTTTTTGAACCTTTTGAACCTTTTAGTGGTCGATCGGTTGGTCCACCGGCTAGTCGACCAGTAAGGCAAAAAATTTTTTTTTTTTTTTTCAACTGTTTGACCTTTTTTTTGGAATTGTTTGAATCTTTTGTGGTCGACCGGTTAGTCAACCGGCTGGTCGACCGGTTGGTCTCCCCCAACAGCCATGCACAGTATTTTGATGAAATGCGGAGCCTGTCTTCATTTTGGTGAAACGTTTGGTGAAATCTCGATTTGATATCGATTTGGTGAAACCGTTGGAGCATGAAAAAGTGTTTTTTTCACCAAATTTTAAATTTGATGCCAGATTTGGTTTAGGGTTGGAGATGTCTTAGAACATCTCCAACCCTGAACCAAAATTTTCATCAAATTTGAGTAAAAAAATCACTTTTTCCTCAATCTGATACCGACTGCTCCAACGGTTGATTTTCATCAAATTTTCATCAAATCTGTGTCGGGATAACCGGTTGGTCGACCGGTTAAGCCAAAAAAAAATTTTTTTTTTTTGAACCTTTTAGTGGTCGACCGGTTGGTACACCGGCTAGTAGACCGGTAAGGCAAAAATCGAGACAAAATTTTACAGTGAGTAGCATTTTCATATACTAGAATTCAATATATTTTTCATATTCTAATGTATTTATCGATTTTTTAAAATATTTGTTTACAAATATTTTATTTTCTAGATACATTTAAGTACGGTGTATCTAAAAAAGTAAAAAAATTACTTAAAATTTAAAAAATATTCACTAAAAATAAAAAATTCAATTTTCAAAAAATTGAACCGAAAAAATTAAAACCAAAAACACTGATTATAACTCAAAAAAATATTTAAAAAATTAAAATATATTTACAGACCATAATTATTCTAGGTATCTAGGCCATTTATCTGATTTTCGGCGTAAAATCCGAGACAAAATTTTACAGTGAGTAGCATTTTCATATACTAGAATTCAATATATTTTTCATATTCTAATGTATTTATCGATTTTTTAAAATATTTGTTTACAAATATTTTATTTTCTAGATACATTTAAGTACGGTGTATCTAAAAAAGTAAAAAAATTACTTAAAATTTAAAAAATATTCACTAAAAATAAAAAATTCAATTTTCAAAAAATTGAACCGAAAAAATTAAAACCAAAAACACTGATTATAACTCAAAAAAATATTTAAAAAATTAAAATATATTTACAGACCATAATTATTCTAGGTATCTAGGCCATTTATCTGATTTTCGGCGTAAAATCCGAGACAAAATTTTACAGTGAGTAGCATTTTCATATACTAGAATTCAATATATTTTTCATATTCTAATGTATTTATCGATTTTTTAAAATATTTGTTTACAAATATTTTATTTTCTAGATACATTTAAGTACGGTGTATCTAAAAAAGTAAAAAAATTACTTAAAATTTAAAAAATATTCACTAAAAATAAAAAATTCAATTTTCAAAAAATTGAACCGAAAAAATTAAAACCAAAAACACTGATTATAACTCAAAAAAATATTTAAAAAATTAAAATATATTTACAGACCATAATTATTCTAGGTATCTAGGCCATTTATCTGATTTTCGGCGTAAAATCCGAGACAAAATTTTACAGTGAGTAGCATTTTCATATACTAGAATTCAATATATTTTTCATATTCTAATGTATTTATCGATTTTTTAAAATATTTGTTTACAAATATTTTATTTTTTAGATATATTTAAGTACGGTGTATCTAAAAAAGTAAAAAAATTACTTAAAATTTTAAAAATATTCACTAAAAATAAAAAAACACAAAAAAGAAAAAACTCATTTTTCAAAAAATTGAAACCAAACACACTGATTATAACTCAAAAAAAAAATTAAAAATTAAAAAATATTTACAGACCATATTTATTCTAGGTATTTCATCCGATTTTCGGAGTAAAATTCGAGACATAATTTTATAGTGAATAGACCGACCCAAGATGTGGGGTGGATATCATTCCAAAAGCACTTGAACTTGCTTTATCTCTTTTCATAGAGGTTTTTTTTGAGCTACAGAATTTCATTAGTATTTATGTTCCAACAACACATCCAAGGAGGTCCCCATTGTATTTGCCTATCATTCTAATAAGCAAAAGCTATAATGGATGATCAACGGAGGAGTTGTTTGTGTTGTGCTATTGTTCTGGTTTTAACATCTCTCATGTGTTCCTCCTCCTTCCACTTGGTGAATGCCCAGCCTATGGATTATCCAATTGCCACTGTGTCCACTTCATGGACCCTTAACGATTCCCTACGGGTCTTCAAAGCTTCGGACTTTTTATGGAGACCAATCCTTTTTCGAAGAGGCCTTCGATCGCGTTTTTCTCTCGTCTTCTGCTGCGATTTTGCGTACACTGCCTGCATCGTTGGTGTCCTCATCCAAAAACAAACTTCCTTTCAACAAGATGACATAACTGATGCCCCGCAACTAGTTTGGTCGGCTAACAGAAACCATCCTGTAAAACTTAACGCAACCTTGCAACTCACTCAGCATGGAAACTTGACTTTGGCAGACTCGGATGGCACTTATGTCTGGTCTACAAACACTGGCGGAGGAAATCACTCTGTCCCAGGCTTAAACTTGACTGAAGATGGAAATCTGGTCCTCTTTGATCGAAACAATGCAATGGTTTGGCAGTCTTTCCATCACCCAACTGACTCCTTACTTCCTGGGCAGATGTTGGTTGATGGGCAGAAGATAACTTCCAGCACATCTGCATCAAACTGGAGTCGAGGTTTGTATTCACTTGCTGTTCAATCTTCTCCTTATCAATACTATCTGTCAGCTTATGTAGAATCCAATCCACCCCGGTTCTATTTTGAATCAACGTATGATGTCAAATCCGAGAATCAAAGCTTCAACTGGCAGCGAATCCCTGTTTTATCATCATCATCAGCTCAGTTCATAAGGTTGGATCCTGATGGGCATTTGAAGGCTTATGAGTGGGGAAGATCGAATTGGAATGGGGTGGCTGATCTGCTGACTTCAGATATTGGTGACTGTGGTTATCCGATGGCGTGTGGCAATTACGGCATTTGTTCTTCAAATGGGCAGTGCGCCTGTCCTGACGATGCCAATAGTGAAACAAGCACTTTCAGGCAAATAAGTCATAGGCAACCCAACCATGGATGTTCCCTTGTTACACCCATTTCTTGTGACCATTCTCAATATCACACCCTTTTGGAGCTTAAGCAAACTAGTTACTTATACCCAAACTCGCTACCCACAAGCGAATACTACTTGGGTGGACAAGGTGGACAAACAGGGTTAGAGGATTGCAAAAAGAGTTGCTTGAAAAACTGTTCATGCAAAGCTGCTTTCTTTGCATATGATTTGAATGCTTGCTTTTTACTGTCGGAAGTGTTTTCTCTCATAACTAAGAGCGGAAGGGATGAGATATTTCTTAAAGTACAGAAATCTCCAACTGCACAATATCATATTCCTTCACCAACAAATTCTCCTCAAAAGAAATCAGGACAAGTCACGATGATATTGGGTTCCAGTTTCGGAGCTTTCTTCGGTGTATTTTTTGTGGTTGCCTCTTGCATTTTCCTTTTCAAAAAGAAACGAGAGTTTGAGGATTTTGATGAGTTCTTTATGGATCAAGTACCAGGGATGCCTACCAGATTCTCTTACGAAGAATTGAGAGCCATGACAAACAATTTCAATCATAAGCTCGGGGAAGGAGGATTTGGGTCAGTGTTTCAAGGGACATTAAGCGATAGCACTAATGTAGCAGTGAAGCGCCTCAATGGTTTTGGTCAAGTTAAGAAGTCATTCTTAGCTGAAGTTGAGACAATAGGCAGCATTCACCATGTTAATTTGGTGAGATTAATTGGATTTTGTGCTGAAAAATCATATCGGCTTCTAGTTTATGAGTACATGTTCAATGGATCCTTGGATAAATGGATCTTCCAAAGGCACCAAGAGCTCACACTTGGGTGGCAATCCAGAAGAAAGATCATCATGGATATAGCCAAGGGTCTAGCCTATCTCCATGAAGATTGCAGACAAAAAATATTTCACTTGGATATCAAACCCCAAAACATCCTCTTAGATGAATACTGCAATGCGAAAATTTCTGATTTTGGATTGTCAAAACTAATTGATAAGGACCAAAGCCAAGTTGTAACAACTTTGAGGGGAACACCAGGCTATTTGGCTCCCGAATGGTTGAACTCAATTATCACCGAGAAAGTAGATGTCTATAGCTTTGGTGTCGTGGTCTTGGAAATGTTGTGTGGGCGGAAAAATTTGGACAGGTCTCAGCCTGAAGAAGATATGCATTTTATGAATGTGAGAGAGAAAGAGGGAATGTTGATTAACGGAACAGAGACAACGACTGAGGCTGTATTTTAAGTTCCAATTTGGATAAATATTTCAAAACTTATTTATTGTTTGATTTGCATTAAATAAAAAAAAATATATGAATGTAAAATTACTGTTATATTTATCTTCTTTTTCAATCTTATCGTCCATCAATATTTCTTCATAATCTTTATTTTATCAAAATTTCTTCATAAACGTGATTTTAAAAAATATATATAAATAAATAAATAAAAACAAAATAAAAATATAAAATATAAAGGTCATGTTGGGTTTGTTTTTTAATTTTTTTTAAATATAAACTAATTTGATAAAATAAATATCAAAAACTATTTTTAAATTTTTTAAAATTATTTTTAACCTTCTAAAATATAAAATTATATAAAAATAATAAGTGTTTTAATTTTTAGTCAAGGATAAAGAATCTTTTTATTTTATTTTCTAATTCAGGATATATAATCTCATCAATTGTAATAGAGATCCCCACACATACATAACCTCCATAATCATCACTCTCATCTCAACCACTTATAATATGGGATCCACACATACATAAGTAGACTACACACATCAAGGATCAAGATTAAATTGGGAATTATGGAACCCCCATAAAAAAGGGTCCCAAACATTACTGATAATCTCATCACTAATCCATTATTAATAATTCTAAAATAAAAATTCAAACAAACACAAAATTATTAAACCTACTAATTAATAATTTTAATTCGATACTCCAATCAAACATGTCCTGAGTTAACAGAAATTTTGTTTTGTGCGTGCGTAGGCCGTCGTCGGCTTGTCGTTGTGTTGAAATGGTATATGGTCAAATATGGAAAGTTCGACTCTGTTTTTTAGGCAAATATAATAATAAGGAAATGATTTCTCTGCTAGTATGCATCTATTAAAAAAAAAAAACGACTCTGTTTTTTAGGCAAATATAATAATAAGGAAATGATTTCTCTGCTAGTATGCATCTATTAAAAAAAAAAAAAGTTGAATCTAAGGATTACGTCATATAAGTGTAATCAATTAATAAATGAGAAATTGACCTCAATCTAAGCGGTTATAAAAAAAATACAAACCAATAAAAAAGTTATTCACCGGTTTAAAAGTTGACTTTTTTGATTTTTTTGTTTTTTTGTTTTTAGTGAATATTTTTTAAATTTTAAACATTTTTTTACTTTTTTAGATGCACCTTACTTAGATGTATCTAAAAAGTAAAAAAAATTGTAAAAAAATATTTTAAAAAATTAATAAATACATAAAAATACAAAAAATGTACTGAATTCTTGTATTTTTTTTATATTTTTGTATTTAATGAATTTTTAAAAGATTTTTTTTACAACTTTTTTACTTTTTAGGTGTATTTATGTTAGGTGTGTCTAAAAAGTAAAAAAATTACTTAAAATATTAAAAAAATTCAGTAAAAACAAAAAAATACGGAAAATAAAAGAATAGAATTTTCTAAAAAGTGTTTTGAAAAACTAGAAACCAAGCAAGGTGATTAATTTTAATAATTAAAATTTTAAATTTTTTCATGAATTTACAAATATTTTGTAAAAATATTACTCACCTTATTTGGTTTACACTATTTTTCTTAAGTTTTTTTATTTTTCGTATTCTTTTGTTTTTAGTAATTTTTTAAATATTTTAAACAATTTTTTATTTTTTAAATACACCTAATCTAAAAATACTTAAAAAGTATAATATTTTGTGGATAAAACTTTAAAAAAATTACCAAATACAAAAAAACATATAAAAATTTAGTATATTTTCATATTTTGTTATATTCAATGAATTTTTAAAAATATTTTTATACAAATTTTATACTTTTTAAGTATATCAAAATTAAGTGGATCTAAAAAATTTAAAATATTGATTAAAATATTTTTTAAAAATCACCAAAAATACAAAAATACGAATGAAAAATTCATAAAACTGTTTTTGAAAATTCCAAACCAAACAAAGTGACTGATTTGTAATTTTCTCCTTAATAAAAAGTCGCAAATAAATTAAGTAAACAAACTTTGTCTCTTGTCTCTCACTAGGCCTCGTTTGGGAATATGTTATTTTAGTAATTTTTTGGCTTTTTACAAAAAGTTGTATAGAAAAGTAGAGAGAGTGATGTGACAACTTATAGTGACTTTTTGGCTAAAACTGAATGTTGCCAAACAAGTCTTTGGCAACAACTTTTTTAGTTGACTTTTTGAAATTGAAACTTTTTTAGTTTGAAACTAAAAAATTTGTTTGGCAAATTTTTTTTTGACTTTTTAACTTTTATGAGGGGAAAAAAAAAGTGAAATGATTATGATTTGGATATGATATTTTTTCTTATTAGCTTTGCCAAATCTTTTATGCTTTTTTAGTCCCAACTAGATAATATTTTGGTGCTTATCACAAATCAAGATTACTTGTTCAATTGGATACCATTTTTTTTTAATGCAAACATAATTTGATTGAACAGTAACTCTTGTTTGATCATCTTAATTATTTTCATAAATATTTTATTTAATAAATCATAAAAAGTGAATGATTAGAGCTCAATCTCAAAGATGGGTATGACAATCCTGTTCTGTATTAAGCTATTATTTCATTAATTATACATGTGATTACGTGTTTAATGTGCTTCTGAAAGCTAATTATGTGTTTTGTAAGAGTTTTGGCTCTATATTTGTTCATCGTAGGATAATTTGTTTTAAATGCCACTAAAATCTAAAATTGAGACCCATAAAGACGACAAAAACCAAAATTGATTACTTTATTATGATCAGCATGATTTTTAGAGTTGATTGTGAAATTTAATTAAAAATTTATTCAAATCAAATTAATTAGGTTAAATTCAATTAACCTAAGCTCTAATTAATTAGCTTAAGCTTTGATTAGCTAATCAACTAATTGAGCCTATATATATAATTCTTCAGCTCAAAATGTGTGTGAGAGAGAGAGAGAGAGTTCTCGAGAGCTCAAGAAGAATAGAGGAAGAAGAAGAAGAGCAAGGAAAAGTATAAGCAAATCTCCATAATTGAACATCTAAGGTAAGAATTTGTTCCTACATTCTTGAATTTGAGACACCTACAGTCAGGTTCTCTTGAAAGTAAGTTTAAGTTGAAAAGAAATCATGCATAATTGTGAGTTTGGTGGTGGAAATGAAGGCTAAGAACTCATATAAGCATATAAGAGAAGATTGTAGGAAGGAGTTCAAATTATTGAGCATGTATGGCATACACTCATGAGATTCATGTTTTTTGCATGATTTTTGAGTATTGAGAAGGAATCTCCATGGATTTTGAGCTTGGAACTCAAATATGCATGTTTTATTCAAGTCAAAGAATTTGATCTTTGGAATGGGAATTGAGGTTTGATTTAAAGTTATGATTTTGTTTAATGTTAGATATGGTAAAATCAAGTTGTTTTTGTGAGTTTCGAGCTTTGATACGCATGGATTTGAAGATGGATTTTGAAAAGAGAAAGTTCCACTCTTGAAATAGATTTTAGGACTGAATTTTACCCAAATTGCACGTACGGCCTCAGGCGCCACAGGTGTGGCCAACTTCCCTTGTTCCAAATTGTATTCTACAAAAGTTGCACGTACGGGCGCACGTGCGGTGATGGTTTTGGCACGTGCGGTTTTCAGGGCAGTCCTGGATTCATTTTCTTTCCTTTTTTTTTTACTTTCCAGGCTTCTGTTTGCATGGTTTTCACGTGTATTTGATATGCATATGCATTTCATGAATACAAAGAGAATTAGAGAACAAATAGAACTAACTGAATGAACAAGTAGTGAATGAACCGAATAGGGTTAAAGACTGACTGAATGAATTGAATGTGTTTTGAAGTGTTGTTCTTGATTTTGTTATGTAAGTCAGACGTCACACTCTAGCTACGTGCTTCAGGGAGCCAACAGTGAGTAACAACCTTGTAAAGATATTTTTGAATTACAAGTACTTTTTAAATTATAAAATGCTTTGTTTCTAAAATGATGCTTTCTTACTAATTGAATGATTGTCTTATTTTATGAACTGTATTTGTGACATCCATAGCATCTGTTACTGCTACTGTTTACTGTTACTGTTACAAAAATCTCTGTTACTTCCAACTCTTGGAACTTCTATTTACTGTATTGATGGTCATCATATATGATTGTTCGGTTTTCTAAGACTTACTATATTGTTATGCTAATGGATATACCACGTATGACTGTTATAATTTCAATATGTTTTGATATGTTATGAGATACTGATTCATTGATTAAATTGACTGCTTAAAAGTACTGAAAGGATATCATTCATAACCCCTTTACACTGTTGTTATTCATTAGGCTCTAACTCACTGTTTTATATATGTATGTAGATGATCAAGTGCTAGACTGGATTAAGTGGCGTCGACTGGAACTCTACTTTTTGCCAAGCCAACTACTGTGCCTCACTTTAAGATTCCAACCGGGTCAAGTTTCAAGGCTTCATGGGTGGTTTAGACTTCACCCTCTTGTGTTATGACCAAGCATAATAAGTGATTTCACTGTTGATTAGACTAGTTTTGTTATTGGGATTAAATCCCTAAGTTTTGTTTATGTGTTGTGTACAAGCTTGACATGTGTTTATGTGCATGTGTATATATAAATGTTAGTTTTGTTCATTTATGTCTTCACAGCTCATTGGACGTTATATATTATTATTAATTGGCTTCCGCCAGTCCCTATTACTGGTTTACTATTAAGCAGGTCTTTTGTAATCTCGGATTACTGGCCGGTCACCTCACCGACCCTTACGGAGCGGGGTTCGGGTCATGACCATGGGCTTCGAAATGAACGCACCTAATATAATACGGTCTCTTTAATTGTGTGGTAAGATTACATATTTTTGGGGTAAGTTACATATAGTATGTACCACTAAAGGGTGCACATCGGAGCATTTCCCTATATAAGCAAGTATGTTTTGTGTCCATATTGAATTACGAAAGATAATACCAGTATGACAATCTATCTATTAAAGTGAGGCATTTTAAATCATGCCTACAGCCATTTTATATTAATT